CGGCAACCTCAATCTCAAAGCTCCACTTATCACAAATGTGGGAAGGCCTGTGATTTTAATTAATTGAAGGAACATTCTCAGATTCTTGAAGCCCACACAGAAATGCATTATTATACTCTATATCTCCAAGCTCTCATCCTCAACGAGACCAATTCACAAATTACACCAGCATATTACAATACAAACTAATAGAACACAGACAATAAAAAGCAATAGAACCTCAGTTGATATGGGCTGCTCAGAGTCAAACACTAATTACAAGAGGAAAGAACAAAATAAAAGAGCTTTAATGCTTCATGTGATTGACAAGATTTCCTTGTTGCTGTTGGCAAAGTCCAATACTTCACACCTACCATTTTTATACATGCCTAAGAGTTCTAAACAAAGTTTTGAATTCAGTCTTGCTTATTTTCTTGTTAAGCCAAATATTAAGTTAGAGTCAAAGCAAAGGACAGCACCTGGAAGACATCCCAAGGCAATGTGCAGCCAATGGAGTACTTTTAAAAGATGGAATGACTGCTGTAATGTTGGGAAATGCAACCAACTTGTGCACATACAGCTCCTAAGCAGCAGTGAAAATGACCAGAAGAATAGGCCTGTTTTAATGGTGTTGGCTAACAGAAATACATTAGCCAAGGACATAATAGAAAATTTCCCAATTCTTCAAAATAGTCTTGAGGGAGGAGGCAGGGCTTTTGTTTAATATCAAAACTGAATGAAGACATTCCCTCAGTACTGCATTGAAGTATCAACCTTGATGATGTACTCCAGTCTCTGGGATGGGTTTGAGCATTTAACCTTCCAAATTAGGTGAAGTCTTTGACCCAAAAGGCAAAACTTACACCAAAAATAGCATAGAATTGTCAAAATTACTTCTAAAGCTGATAATGTTTTTGAAATCATAGAACAATTGTAGTAATTGATAAGCTGCCTGTGCTGTCCCAATAAAACAACATAATTCAAGTGGGCAAACCCAATCAAGCTTCTTTGTATCCTTGTTGAGCTGATGTGTTGCGAATTATTGAATCAGGTGTAATTTCTGTAATTATTTTGCTCATTGAGGAGCAGATTGCTTACACGGATTTATGATTCTTCAGATGTGTAGTTTGCCCATACAACTTAATAAGCACAGATGTAGTATGATTGGCACCACTGTGTTTGCGGAAAGCATTTTCAAATAAATATATTTGAATTGAGTAAGGAACCATTATCCACAAAAGGACCATAGGTACCTCTGCAATAGAGACAATTAACGCATAGCAAAAAGATAACTTATTCTGTAGAATGGTTAAGGTATGGAGGCAGACCTCCATGATCTACCACAGCAGGTAGAAGATTGAACCAGTGCTCTTGGTTTTATTCTGCACCATATTCTTCTCATCTATCTAGCCAACTGGCTCCGTTATTTCTGAAGAAGGGTCCCAACCCGAAACGTCAGCTTTCAACGCTGCCTGGCCAGCTGTGTTCCTCCAGCTCTACAATTTGTTATCTCTGACTACAGCATCTGCAATTCTTGCTACCTCAGTTTAATAGTGCCCAGTTTCTGGCCAAACTTGCTTGAGGTCAATATCCAAGGTATGTTCCACTCAAAACAGTTTGCTGAAACTTCCCAGGATTATATTGTTCTATTTAAGGGCTGTGTAACAGCCTAACTGGGGCATTTCAGTAGAACAGACAATCAGAGGTACTAGCCACTGAATTAACACCCAAGAAAAAAGTGATCGTTAAAGTACTGATAGCCACTCCGATGATTAGAAATATATTAAGACAAACACTGCATCACTGCTGCTGGAAAAATATCTGAACAAAATTGACATGATAAGAAAGCATGAACTGAAACACTGAATTGATGCTGTGGAACTTTGATATTTCACCTTCCAGGGTCAAAATCTTTTGAATTATATCTTCTCCAAAGTCATTTGTCAGTTCAAATAACTCAAGCTGCTTCAATTGCCTAGAGTATTTTATAAATAAAATGTTTCCCCCTATTTCACAACCTCCATATTAACATGCCAGGAAAGACATCCATAGCCTTGACACCTGTTCAAGTCTAATTCCACCACACCTTGCCAAGCTCAACTTACCACAGACATTTTCATTTTGTTGACTGATCCTTCATCAGGACTAATCAGAAGGGTCAAGAGCACTCAATTTGTAATTTGGCATGCCATTTCCAAATTTACTACCTAATTACAACTAATTGATTTATGGTTCTTCTTGCAAAGACTTAGTATAACATTTCTTCAATACTTTCAGTACAACAGGTGACTGAGAAACATTGATTCTCAAGTCTATTCCACACTTAATTACATCATAGCTATCTGTCACTCCATCTGCCGTTTTTGGGTTTGTTAAGTCTTTTATTAATTCAAAGGACATGGGTGTCACAAACTAGGCCAGCATTTATTGTCCATCCACAATTGCTGTGGTGAATGGGCAGTGAGCTGCCATTTCAAACCACTGCAGTCCTTGAGTTGAAGAACACCCACAATGGTTAAAAGGAAGTTCCATGATTTTGTCTCAGTGGTGCTGAAAGAACAGTGATATAGTTTCAAGTCAGGATGGTAAGTGCCTCAGAGGGCAACTTGCAGGGGTGGTGTTCCCACATGTCTGTTCATCTTTTTTCCTAGATGCTGAGTTTGTGGGTTTGGAAGTGTTTGGGCAATTGACAAACAAAAATTTAAGTTTTGAAAAAACAAACCTTGATTATGTAATTTATTCTGAAGCAGTCCATGGCCAAATGGAGCAAGACCCGGACATTATACAGGTTAGGGGTGACAAGTCGCAAATTTCATTTGCGCCACACTAATGCAAGGCAATGGCTATCTTCAATAAGACAGACTCTAATCATCACTTTTGACGTTAAAGGTCATAATCACTGAATCCCCACTGAACACCCTGAGGTTACCAGTGACCAGAAACTGAACTACAATAGTGACAAACTACAAGAGCAAAATCAGATGCTAGGAATCTTGCAGTGAGTAACAGTACCTGAGCTTCCCCAAAGCCTGTCCACCATCAATAAGGCACCAAACAGAAGCATGATAGAAAACTCCACTTTTCTGTCTGTGCAGTTCTATTAAAACCCAAAGTCTGACAACATCAAGGACAAAGCAACCCACTTGATTGACACCACATCCTCAAACATCCACTCCCTCCACCACGATGCTCATCAGCTGAAGTTTGTACCATTTACAAAATGCATTGTAGAATTTCACCAAGGGTCCTGAGACACTACCTTCCAAACTCATGCCTACTACCTTCTAAAAGCACAACGCCAGCCAATTCATGGCAACATCATTGCCTGTAAATTCCTCTCCAGGCACTCACCACCCTGACTTGGGAATATAATCACCATTCCTTCATTGTCACTAGATCAACATCCTGGAACTTCTTCCCCATGTCATTGTAGTTTACTCACAGCAAGTACACTGCTGCAGGTCAAGAAGGCAATTCACTACTATCTTCAAGCGCAACCAGAGATAGACAATAAATACTAGTGCAACCAGAGACACCTACATCTCATGAATGAATAAAAACAATATAACTCAACCATGATACAATTCTGTAGAACTTCTGCCTGTTTTATTTTTACAATACTATTGTCAGCATGACACTTCCATTGCCTTTAATTTGTATTTTCAATCTTTTTACCTGTGTATTGACAACTTTATTATGCAACTACTTTTCCCTTGAAAAGCTTTTTGAACTGTTGCCATGAACAGCAGAAACACTTGAGAACAGTCCTTAGCATAAAGATTGTCAATTTTACAATTATGCAGCATTAATTCAGAAGTAGCACCAACAGGTCATTAGGATATCTAAACACTCAGTTCAGAGGACCATTAAATTTTGATGCCCATTGTAGGTACACAAGTGCACTAATACAAAGGTTTAAGCAAAACAGCAGGGACAGTGATTTTTGAGGTAAAATACAAATAAATCACAGCATGCATCAGGACTGATTCACAAAACTGCTTTTTTAAAAAAGAAAAAACATTATTAGAGACACCACCATAAGAGTATGTGTTGTGCAAGCAGTTTTACTGCTATTAAATGTTAGTGGTAAGGTGGCAACGAGATGCATTTGAAAGCACTAACTAGTAACTGATGTTGCCAGAGTGTGATATACCTGGACCCCTTACTTAAAGCACATTCCTAAACTGTGATTACCTCACACCCTGCAAGTTACATGCAACCAGCATTTTACTTTTGTCATCTCACCAATTCTTCCAAATGGTCAAACTGCCTCACTTAATTCTTGTTCCTCCCACAGAGATCCCACAATGCTCCAAACCACACCATAAAAGCCGGTTCTGCAAAATTCAGGAAAAGGATCACCCAATGGGCAAGACAGGATTGTTCTCCCAAAAAAAACACAATCTTGGCGAATCTCACCTAGTGCCACCTCACTTCACATATGAAAGTGTCGCTGATTCTGGTTCAACTCGTATCAATAGAAAGCGAACTATTTAAAACAATTCTAGCGGAGTTAGCCTCATTTATCCCCACTCCCGAGGAAGCCGGTTGTTGACAGTAGCGTCTCCATCCAAGACAGAGGGAGGAAGACCAGCAGCCAGACAGGGGGCTAACATTTAAACCTAGAGCCCAGGGCACACAGCGAGGCCTCGGCCTCTACCTCAAATTGGATTCCTCCTCCTCCTCACAGATGCTTTAAGCGACAGAGAAGGCCGCTATCCGGCTGTACCCCTCAGAGAATCCCAGCCGTTCTCTCAGCCCCGGGGGGATATACTCCCTTCCGCACCACCCCCATAGGCCCGCACTACAGCCTCCCCGCCGCGGCCCAGGTCCCTCTCCCCGCTCCGGGGAGGCCGACAGCCCCTTATCCCGGCCCCGGAGGCTGCTGAAGGCGGTGGGCCGGACCAGGGTGAGGTGGCAGCCGCTGGGCCCGTGGGGTGGGGGGGGGAAGACGGAGGGAAGGCCTCTCGGTGCCGCTTCCCTGCGTGCGCGGCCCCAGTAGCCTGGCACTCAAAGCTCACCTGTGTCCCCGATGATGATGTACTTGAAAAGGTAAGCGTACGCCATCGTGAGCCGGTGCTCGCTGCGCACTCGAACTACTACCGCCGCCGCCTCAGCAATAACTGGCTCCTGCCGACGTCAGCACCGGAACTACCCGTGCGACACCCTCCACAGACAGCGCCACTCCGCCCTCCTGTGACGCCTGCTGGAATTACCTCCGTGGACAGCGCCACCCCGCCAGCGGTTCCTGCTGGAACTACCACCACACGCAGGGCCACCTCGCCAGCGGCTCCTGCTGGAACTACCTCCGCTGACCGCGCTACCGTGCTCGCAAACGGTTCGCCCCAGAATTACCCTCCGCGGACAGCGCCAGTCCACCCGCCCGGGGCTCCTGCTGGAATTATTTCCACAGGCAGCGCCTCCTGTGCTTTCATGTGGAATTAAACCCTCGTAGTGTTGTCAACTCCCGTGCAACTGTGCTCACAAATGCTCAATTCCCTGGAGTGTGATGGAATACTCCTCCGTTGTCTGCATGGACACAATTCCAGTAACACTTAAGAAGCTTGACACCATCCAGGACAAAGCAGTCCTCTTGATTGGCACCACATCCACAAACATCAAGGGGAGAATGAGGTTTATGAAATCATGAGGGATGTGGATAAGGTGAATTTCAAAGGTCTTTTCCCTAAAGTGGTGGAATTTAAAACTAGGGGGCATATTTTTAAGATGAGAGGAGAATGATTTAAAAAGGACATGAGGGTCAACTTTTACACAAAGAGTGGTCCGTATGTGGAATGAACGGCCAGAGGAAGTTGCCGATGTGGGTACGGTTACAATGTTTAAAAGACATTTGGATAAGTGCACAGCAGGTGGACTGCAGTGGTTCAAGAAGGCAGCTCACCACCACCTTCTCAAGGTCAACTAGGGACAGGCAATGAATGCTTGAACATGGTCGGCTAGGATTAGTTGAACTGAAGGGTCAGTTTCCATGCTGCATGACTCTTACCACTCACTTCACCACTGATGCTCAGTAGCAGTGCTGTGCGCAATCTTCAAAAGGCACTGCAGAAATTCACCGAAGATCCTCAGACAGGACCTTCTGAACCCACGACTACTTCCATCTAGAAGGGCAGCAGATACATGGGAACACCATCACCTGAAAGTTCCCCTCCAAGCTACTTACCCTCTTGACTTGGAAATATATCGCCATAGGCAACAAGCCCACATCCCATGAGTGAATAAAAATCAACTCAAAATGTTCAGATAAAGATGCGAGATGGCAGCGGAGTATCAGGGCTGCATGCGGTCTTTCTTCTGGGGCTGACCCACTCCCATCTGCTTTCCTTCTTTGTTTAACTTGTGCTTCTGCTCTTTTCTTTATTTTCCTTTTTGTTTGGTTTTATTTGTTCTTTTCTGTGGCAGGGTGGTCAGTGGAGTGACTTCTCCTGGCGATCAGAGGCCATGGAAGCAGCAGCGAGGACGTTCTCCCAGCTATAGGAAGCTGGCAGCAACGAGGCCGTTCTCCCATGTTCGGGGCCAGTGGCAGCGAGGTCGTTCCCCGGCATTCTGGCCTGACAGTGGAGCCAGGAACTCTTGGTTGTGGGGCAAGTGTGGGTTCAGCACTGCCAGTGAAGTGGGCCCAGTAGTGAAGAGATGCGACCCTTACACTGGTGGGCCCAGTGCAGGTGGTGATGAGGTGATGGCGATCTCCCTTGAGGCTAGGCGCTGATATGGACTGGGTTGGAAAGACTGATATTCTGAACTTTTCACTTTTTTCATTTTTCTAATTTATTCCTATGACTTATAATGCTGGACTATTTATTTCTTTTCTATTTTCTTTTCGTGTTCTAAGAATTTGATCTTAAGAACCTATACCTAGTTACCTTTGTACCTGAAATGGCACTGTAATGCAGTGACTAGAAACTTTTCACTGTACTCATTTGAGTACAGGTGACAATAAAGCTAATTCAATTAAAAGTGCACTGCATCAAAAGAACTGATGGGAAATGGAATTTAAAAGGTGTGCTTGACCTGGCATTGGTAGATCTTAGGGAGTGGAGGGAGGATACTGGGATGGAGAGATGAAACTCACAGTAGAAAATGGGGACAAATAAGAATAGAGCTGTCTATTTAGGATGGGAAACCCTCTGGGGTAATTAGGTGTGCTGGGGTGGGCAGGAGAAAAAGCTGTGAATTTAATAGGGGCTGAGGTAGGTCATGGGGATCTGGATAGGAATGGGATCATGGAAACACAGGAATACCAAGATAGTGAAAGGGTTCATAGCCACCTTAAAGAAGGACGGGGGTGGGATGGGGGTGGTGGGGGGAGGGTTTGTGTGGGATTGCCAGAGGAAAGGAGAAGAATATCCACAGTGACAAGGGGAAAAGTGGATTGTAGAGTTATAGAGTCAGACAGCACAGAAACAGGTGCTTCAGGCCAACTCGTCCATGCCAACCAGGCTTCCTAAACTAAACAAGTAAATGGGAGAGCCCAGAGATCCATATGCTCATGTTCCTGGGCAGTGCAAGAACACCCACCTGAAGGAATCAAAACAATTGAAGAAGCACTTGGTCAAGGCCTTAGCACTAAAGGGAAGCACGCCTGCAGGGTAAAGGAAAATAAACTCCATCAACTTCTAACATTCCAGCCATATCCTGAGATTCATCCACTTTTGAGAAGTAGGTTACATAAGGCTTACCAACAGTGCAATGATAGTCACACATACTTAACACCTTTAACAGAGTGAGACATCTGAAGACATTACAAAAGAATATTTTCAAATAAAATGTGAACTCTATTACAGGAATTTCTGCTATAATGCATGCTTCATTAATGCAAATTGGCTGTATTGCAATTGATGAATAGTGAACGCTGTTTGGATAACACAAACTTTCTGCTGTACAGGTATACTGACTTTCTATAGTGATTTCCCTGTAACGCAATTTTCTATGGCAATTTCCTACAGTGCAAGGCTACACAAGAACGCAACAACCACATTATAGGAGAAATACCTGTACATGAATGAAGCAAAACAAGTATCAAAGATTGATACAACTTTTGTAAGCCAATAATTGCTTGCTCGTATGGAACTTAAATATTGCTAAAATGGGACAAAAGGCTGAAACTTTTCTTCTTTCACTCGTCAGGACTGGAGTGCAAGAAACCAAAATTGGAAAAAGAATATCAATTCATCCGTCATGAGAAGGAGATACTGATCTTTTGGACCATGGTTGACATCATGATCAACAGGATTGGTTAATTGTCAAATTTAGTAACCTCAGACTAGGTAGGATATCACAGTCTGCATGACACTATCTCATTGAAAATGTTACAATAAACGCCTTTGCCTACATGGAATGGGGTCCCATATATTTACATTGCTTCTAGCTCATGTAAATAAAAAGCCCTGCAAGCTGAAGTGATAATCCTAGATTGATTTCCAGTATAAATCTTGGCAGTCTGGATAATTTAGGAAATGTTGTCCAATAGCAGAATCATACCTTGTGCTGGAAACTAGACAGTGAGGTTTGTAAGCATGAGATATATAATCTACACACCCTGCATCACATCAGCACTAAAACTGAAATGATAGAAATCCTTATAAGTTAATTTGAAAAATCTCTAACGCTACACTTTTGTTTTTATTTCCATCTAAGAGCTTCCGTGTACATTACAGGATTTTGAAGGTTCCTTCACTTTTCTTGGCATCAAGCCAAGGTGTGCCACAGGACCTAGGACTTCACTTTGCCACTCCTCAGTTTCCCGTTCCAGCACTCAGTCTCACAGAGATAACAAGGTGTAGAGCTGGATGAACACAGCAGGCCAAGCAGCATCAGAGGAGCAGGAAAGCTGACGTTTCAGGCCTAGACCCTTCTTCAGAAATGGGGGAGGGGAAGGGGGTTCAGAAATAAATAGGGAGAGAGGGGGAGGTGGATAGAAGATGGATAGAGGAGAAGGTAGGTGGAGAGGAGACAGACAGGTCAAAGAGGCGGGGATGGAGCCAGTAAAGGTGAGTGTAGGTGGGGAGTTAGGGAGGGGATAGGTCAGTCCAGGGAGGATGAACAGGTCAAGGGGGTGGGATGAGGCTAGCAGGTAGATGGGGGTGGGGCTTGAGGTGGGAGGAGGGGATAGGTGAGAGGAAGGACAGGTTAGAAAGGCGGGGACCAGCTGGGCTGGTTTTGGGATACGGTAGGGGGAGGGGAGATTTTGAAGCTTGTGAAGTCCACATTGATACCATTGGGCTGCAGGGTTCCCAAGCGAAATATGAGGTGCTGTTCCTGCAACCTTCGGATGGCATCATTGTGGCACTGCAGGAGGCCCAGGATGGACATGTCGTCTGAGGAATGGGAGGGGGAGTTGAAATGGTTCGCGACTGGGAGGTGCAGTTGTTTTGTGCGAACCAAGCGTAGGTGTTCTGCAAAGCAGTCCCCAAGCCTCCGCTTGATTTCCCCGATGTAGAGGAGGCCACAACGGGGACAGCGGATACAGTATACCACATTAGCAGATGTGCAGGTGAACGAGGTGTAGCACTTCCTGCTGTTGCAGGGAAAAGTGCCGGGTGTGGTGGGGCTGGAGGGGAATGTGGAGCGGACAAGGGAGTCACGGAGAGAGTGGTCCCTCCGGAAAGCAGATAAGGGTGGGGAGGGAAAAATGTCTTTGGTGGTGGGGTCGGATTGCAGATGGCGGAAGTGCCGGAGGATGATGCGTTGGATCCGGAGGTTGATGGGGTGGTATGTGAGGACGAGGGGGATTCTGTTTTGGTTGTTATTGCGGGGAGGGGGTGTGAGGGATGAGTTGTGGGAAATGTGGGAGGCACGGCGGAGGGTGTTCTCGACCACTGAGGGGGGGAAGTTGCGGTCCTTGATGATACAGCACTGTCTTCTCACAGCCATCCAATCTGATTTTGATGTTTCTTTGATCTGGGAAATTACATGGAAAAAATTATCCCCTCATGAACACAACAGAGACAGCTAGTCTCGATCAAGCCTCAAATGGGGGGTTATCTATTGTTCGCTATTTTCACACTTCTACCTCTGACTTTATTGAAGAAACAAAGGCTGTGCTTTGTATTTCAGTCAGACCAAGTCTGTTTACTAATCTCCTAAAAACAGGTCCTTCCATTATTCTATTTTTAAAACTTCAAATCCAACAAACGCTTTAAGAAAACATATGAAAC